GCTACATCTGATTCCATTACCTTGTTCCTTTTACAGTTATGCAAAGCCCATGTAAATACTAGTATTCTGAATTAATTGGTACTTCATATTCCTACTGCACTGGCAAAAATGGCTGGGTTAGACATAGGGCAGTGGAGAAACAGAGAGAAGCAAGCACTTGAGACATAGACAGATAGATAGATAGATAGATAGATAGATAGATTAGATAGATAGATACATAGATACATAGATACATAGATACATAGATACATAGATACATAGATAGATTTAATCAGAGCCAATATAAATTAGATTATTAAATTCTCCACTTATGGGCATGACATCTTCTAGACTCTCTCCAAATAAACTTAATAAAATATATCCACTATTAACAGAAATTATGCAGGAGTGTAATTTCTTCTCTCTCCAAAATGAAGACATTTTAATGTAAATTATATTCTAATCAAAACCTCCTCCTTTAAAATCTCATCTCTGTCTTCTCTTATGGCCTCTGCGGTTTTGGACAATTTGTGATTTTTCTTTGCTGGTATTAGAGCCAGGAAAAAAAAAAAAAAGGTGATGACAACAGCATCTCTAGTGTAATAGAAATCATTCATGTGTCCAAGCAGAAAAAAAAATTTTTATCACTTTAAACACTTTACCTAGGTATTTTCTTTAATTATACAAAATTTTGGATGCCATTATGTAATTCAACAGGACATAACATCACTTCCTAAAATCCTCACTCCTTTCCCCCAGTCCATTCAGATCCTAGGAAGAAGATAAATTCTGCTATAAAATGTAAGTAGAAAGAAGATTAAGAACCACTAAATTATACAAGATTAATCCATTGGTTTGATTAGTTTTCAGACCATTATTAGTGAAATAAAAAGAGACAGACTTATTTTCAAAGACAATAGAACATGTGTGAGTCCCATAGTCTTCACTAGATTTTATTAGCATTGCCCATCTCTGGATTTGACAAGTTATCATGTTGGGCATGATAGGTGATCTCTGTTGGCCTCTGATGTGTGTGCCAGAGAGAACTCTTTTTTTTGATGCCTTTGGTAAGAATTAATGCTGGTCTACCTAGAAAAGCATACTCGCTGATTTTTGTGCTATTAGATTTTGCTTACAGTTTGCTAAATCTCATATCAGATAATTAACAAAGAAAAACATTCAGAAGAAAAAAGGGGTGGGGGCAATATGAATTGGGTATCACAAATATAATCTATGCCAATGATATATTACCATTCATTTACAGTAAACTGCTACATTTCTGTGTACCAAGCAGCTGCTGCTGATAAATCTATCAGAGATGGGTGTCAGTGTATGAATCATCAGGCATGATTCTCAGGCATTTCTGCACTTCTTTGGATCAGCCAAGAGACTGAGGAACTGTAATGAGACCTTTATTAAAAGGATGCTCTCCACAGTCTTCTCCTTTCAGCCTGTGCAGTCATTCCTCTAAAACAATAAACAAGGGCCTTTCAATATTGAAGCACGGAATGACTAAGGAGCATTTTTACTTCCAAAATATAACATAGGTTTTAGGACTAGATAGTAATTCAACAGAGATAAACAAAATTAAATTGGAGAAGAAATACTGTGATTCTTCCTGTCAACACCATTACTCAGACATAGTTTTATGAAATCTTGAAAGCAGACTCCCACTTTCAAAGCTGCAAAGCATACAAGAACATGCCCATCCTGGGAAAGGGTTCTAGATGCTGTTAAGTACCAATAGAAGGAAGCAAAGGCTTCACATTCATTTAGGAGGTGCTTCCTGCTCTGCTGAATTATGGACTAAAATCTCTCAATTTCCCTCTGAAGCCACAGTGTACCTACACAAGGGCTAACAAGAGAGATCATGGGCGTGATGTTCTCTGCTGATAACACTGTTATCATGTACCACTGCAGGGAACTCAAATGCCCTGTCAGAATTGGTTATTTGTTCCCTTTCATACAGCAAAACATCACGTTTCAAGATACTTGTTGTGCAAGGTCAGCCTGAAGGTTGTCCTAAGTAGGAAAAACTCACTCGGGAGATATATTCAATATACACCAAGAGGAGAATTGCATTTTGAGTCAGCATAAAGAAAGGGGCCATCTTCACAGACCCCTTAAAGTGCAAAATGGTTTTATTCCCCTCTCTGCTTCTTATCTGTGAGTGCTACCTGACCTAACGAAGCGTCAGCATTTCCTTCTGCCACCTGAATTCTCAGGGCTCTACAGCTACGTAAAAAGCTGCCCCAGGCTGAAATAAAGCAGACATGCTAAGGCTCCTAGGAATATTTTCCTGACTTCTTGGTTCAAGATGCTTTTGTTTCTCTTTTTACTCATACACAGACAATTAAGCTCCAAGTGTCACCAATATCATACACAAAATTACTTTGACCACTTAAAAGACTCTTCACCTTATTTTTCAGGCAAATTGTTGATATATTAAAGTCAGTAACATTTAGATAAAAGCATGTAGAACCTGTACACATTTATATAGGATCACAAAGCACAAGACCAACACCAGCTGGTATTTTTTTAACCTCTTTTACAGATGAAGAAACTCTGCATGGAGAAATTTCCCTGTTTAACAGGAGAATGTCATAAAAAGATAGCTATAGTCCTGCTTCTCCATTTCTCTAATCTTCATATTGTTTATCTCCCAAATATATTAGGCATTGATTTTAGCACATATCAGCATGTATAGTGCTGTGAGAACCTGAAGCATTTAAGGGAAGGTACTGTTTATGGGTTTTTTTAAATCTGTGACAATGGTTCTGATCTCTTTGGCAACAAAAATGAATTTGAAAAGCAGAAGAGCCTGTTTGCTTCTGTATCCTTCCAAGCTTATTTGCTCTTACTGGGCAAACACTGGCTGCCCAGAGAGGCTGTGGGGTCTCCAGCCTTGGAGATACTCAGACCTGGACCAGGCAAGAGCGTCCTGATCCAAATTTGAAGTTGTACCAAACAACCTCCAGAGGGCCCTTCCAACCTAAATAGTCTTGTGATTTTATTCTCTTCCAGTTTCTCTGTATTCTATTGAATGGTTCTCCTCAAACTGTGACAAATCCATGCTTTTGACTTTGTTTGCTAATATAGAAGGCCAAGTGTAATTCTGCACTAGGTCTACCCAGGAAAACAGACAGAAGGAAGTTCTTGATTGCAGGAATGCTTAGGCAGATTGAAGCATAGGTTATTTTTATCAGGTCTGTTCCTTTGGCAGCAATTTTGGTTAGATTGTTGCAGTGCATTCACTGGCAACAAACAATTAGAAGAAACTAGTCCTTTTTAACCACTATTCCGGCTAAGCTGCTGAAAAAGGGATATTATGAATAACAGGACATTAGAAGAATACTTGAATAATATTTTAATTATCACAGTTGCTTATGCTCATGAAGACAGTGAAATATATGATATCTCTTGTCAAGGTGACACACAAAACAAACAAGAAAATAACAGATGCAGGGAATGAAATGGGAAAAGGCATTACCATTACCGTTCCACTCCAACACAAAAACAGACTTAGATATATGCAAATTACTTAATTGATTAAAGGAGGATGGAGCAGAGGAACTGTAGTCACCTGTGAATTTTGGCTTAGCTGTACTGACTGTACCCTTCAATTATTGTGGTATACAACAAAGAGATCTCCTTTAGGCTGAGGAAAGACTACGAAAAGCTGAGAAAGCTGGAGTTGTTCAACCTGGAGAAGAGAAGGCTCCAGAGAGACTTTATTGCAGCCTGTCAATAAGGGGGATTGTAAGAAAGGGGGCTTATAAGAAAGATGGGGACAGACTTTTTAGTAGGGCCTGTTGTTATAGGACCAGGGGTAATGGTTTTAGACTGAAAGAGAGAAGATTCATACTAGATGTAAGGAAGAGGGTTTTTTACAATGAAGGTGGTGAAACACAAGCACAGGTTGCCTAGAGAGGTGGAAGATGCCCCCTCCTTGAACACATTCAAGGCCAGGCTGGATGGGGCTCTGTGCAAACTGGTCTAGTTGAAGATGTCGCTGCTCACGGCAGGAGGGTTAGACTAGACCATTTTTAAAGGTCCCTTCCAATACAAACCATTCTATGATTCTCTGAAAAGCAGGAACTGAAACAGAAGAAGAAAATGCTCATAAGATAACCACTCATAGACTTTGGGGGCTGCTACCACCTTCACTGTAACTTGATGAACCAAATTGTAATCCAGCATCCTTCAAAATAAGGATTCATGTAGTTCTGATACAAGTCTCATCTTGTGATGAGAATCTCTTCAAGAAAACCATGTCTGGTAAAAGCCAACAGATCCATCTCCTTTGGGATCAGCTGACAGGCTTACCTGAAACCTCTTTCTTACCCAAAACCTCTTTCTTACCCTCCCTGTCCCCCTCTCCCAAAAGATCTGGAGAAGGGAACTGAGAAAAGAGGTGTTTACTTTAAGAGAGCTCAGTTTGTATGTGACTGTTCTCAACCTGCCCCTAGGACTTGGCAAGAAAGTCTAATGATGCCAAACAGGGCTCTACTCCTTGCTGTAGAGACCACTTGAGACTGCCCCTAGTATTTACTAGCCCCTTGCTGAGATCTGAAATACCACGACTGACACTCAGCTGGGAACAGGAGGCAGCCACTGACACAATGCTGCAAAAGGTCTTGCATGGCAATTGTCCCAGAAGCTGTGCTCTGTCTTTAAGACAAGGAAGTAAGAGAAGACCAAGTTCAGGAAAGTAGAATTTCAGTGTGCTCTTAACCTTAAATCCCAAACAAAGCTCTGAGATTGAAATGCTTGCTTCAAGTTACACTCACAGTAAGGTGCTATCTGTATAGGAATGGATTTTAGCATGTACTTATATACTTCTCTCCCTCCCAGTTTGAATGTTAGGCTGTCTTTCTAGGTGAGACTTGGCATCTTAAGCCCACAGGCTTGGCCTTATCTTTAGTTTTAATACAGCCCTCGAATATCCCTAATGTTTCAGAATCAAAGCCCCTGTACTAAACCTACTGTTTAACATTTCTCTCATATCTTTCTTTCCACAGTATGTGGCATTTGCCTCCTTGTTCTTCATTCTGGTCTCCATCACCACCTTCTGCCTCGAGACCCATGAGAGATTTAACCCCATTGTGAACAAGACAGAAACTGAATTCATCGGGAATGACACCCAGGTGCGGCACTACAGGGAAGCAGAGACTGAAGCCTTTCTCACCTACATCGAAGGTGTCTGTGTGGTCTGGTTTACATTTGAGTTCTTGATGAGAGTCACTTTCTGCCCAAACAAGGTGGAATTTATCAAAAACTCTTTGAACATCATTGACTTTGTGGCCATACTGCCTTTCTATCTAGAGGTTGGACTCAGTGGCCTGTCTTCCAAAGCTGCTAAGGATGTCCTGGGCTTCCTCCGCGTAGTCCGTTTCGTGCGAATCCTGCGAATTTTCAAGCTGACCCGCCACTTCGTTGGGTTGCGGGTCTTGGGACACACCCTCCGTGCCAGCACAAATGAATTCTTGCTGCTCATCATATTTTTGGCATTGGGCGTCTTAATCTTTGCCACGATGATCTATTATGCCGAGAGAATAGGTGCTAAACCAAATGACCCTAGTGCCAGTGAACACACACACTTTAAAAATATCCCCATCGGCTTTTGGTGGGCTGTTGTCACCATGACGACCCTGGGCTACGGAGACATGTATCCTCAGACTTGGTCAGGCATGCTGGTGGGGGCCCTCTGTGCTCTCGCTGGTGTGCTGACCATTGCCATGCCTGTCCCTGTCATTGTGAACAATTTCGGAATGTATTACTCCTTAGCTATGGCTAAGCAGAAGCTACCAAAGAAAAAAAAGAAGCATATCCCGAGGCCACCCCAGCTGGGATCCCCCAATTATTGTAAATCTGTCGTAAACTCTCCACACCACAGTACTCAGAGCGACACTTGCCCACTGGCCCAAGAAGAAATTTTAGAAATTAACAGAGCAGGTAGGAAACCTCTTAGAGGAATGTCCATCTGACCGTTAACCTCCATCCTGCGTAGTGATTTAAGATTCAGCCAGACTGCTTTCTTAGAGCAATGGGTAGCACATTTATCCATTCTAGTCCCACCATCACACAATGAATAATATGTGTGAAGTCTAGGTTGCAGGGACAAATGGTACAGTGGAGGCTGATCAGCAAAACTAAAGATGAGAGCACGCTCTAGGAGCCCAAACTTTGGTCCTGGTTAAGGGCATACAAGTCTCAAGATATTTTGAAAAGCTGTTACATCTAGTGGAAGAATTTTGAGAGTTCTACAGCTGTGTTGCTGGACTGTAATGCATTTCAGAGGCTCCTGAGAGCTGAATGCTTCATAGAGCAGAGTAGGAGCCAAGTACTCAGCAATTACAGAGTTTCCTGACAAAACAGGGCTGGAATTCGAAACAGCCAGATGCTTTCTCATTTGTTCCCATTTGGGATCTTTCAGCTGTTTTAAATGGCAGATATTGTACATCTCATTACAGAAACTAGGTGCCTAGTAAGTTGAAGGGACAACTATACCATCATGCATATTCATGAGACAATCCCGTCTCTTTCTGATGATTAACTGCAAAGTAGAACAACAGCTCAAATTCTTGACACTAATGCAAAATGACTCACTGAGACAAGACTAGACGTAAGGATGTTTATTCCATGGCATGCAAATCAAGCTATTCTATAATATTCCACTAGAATTTAGCATTTAGAACTATGAAGAATTTTGAACCACATTTCCTAAAACATGCTCCTTTTGCAAGTGTGGGTTGGTGAGTTACAGCTCTTTCAACCTTCTAGCAGCAAAGGCCAACTGGAAAAGGTCTGACTGGTCATTACTGGCTGGTTTGGCCCAAACAGTAATCGCCTCATGATATGGTATTCTTATTTTTAATTATACTGATTCATGTTAGCAATAGGTGAAATCAGAGTAAAATTAACCATACTAATTCTACTGGGAGGGGGGAGGGAAATGGAAAAAATACTAGTCACCATGGAATATATTATAATATCCCATGGTTAGTGGTTAATTATGGGAATATCTCAGTTTTATGAGACTCCTCCTATAGCACACAAAATTACGGGGCTCCGATTTGATTATTTAAACCCCATAATCTACCTCTACCCATGGAATACCACTATTTATTCTATGGCGTAATTTGAAAGTAGATAACCATGTTGAAAAAAAAAGCCAACTTCATTTTTGGCAGATGTTCCAGCCAAGTAGACATCCTTCAGCCTATTCAGAACATCCCCTGTGTTGTATTAGACAGAACAGATCGCCAGCCAAATGATCTTAACTGACATGTAGTTCAAACGAGGTGTTTTGAAAGAGTTAGCATATACCTATGATGGTCTTGTGTTATCATTTTTTTGCTTTGAAGAAAATTCTAATTTGTTACTCATTGTGAGTGAGGTATTCTCTCGTCATCTCATAGCCATGCATGTTGATGTCATTGTGAGAAGCACAAAGAAAGTGAGACTTTCCTTTGTGTGTGACTTCACCAATGCCAATGCTAATTTTGGAGGGGAAGAGCTGGTGGGAATCTTTCTCTTCTTTTCTATTCTCTTTTCTCTTCTTTTGTTATTTCTTTTCCCTTTTGTGCAACTATGTAAAATCCATTCAGAAGGTTAATAGCTTTCATTTTGTTTTTGTTAAAGGCTATTCCATTGCAACAGGCCAATCACAATTCACGTGACTGATAGACTGTACCAATCGTATCTTTGGCGCCTAAGTGATGGTTTTATCATCCATTCCCCTCAGGTTGCAAATGCTTATCACAACTCATGTCCAAGCAGCAAACTTCCTCATAAGTAGATGTCTTTGTGGCATCACACATGAAGAGGGAAAGAAGGCACAACACTGTTGCGTGTCTCCTACTGTGAGCAATATGCCAACTACCCAATTGTAATTTGCAAGAGATGCCAGACTCTGGAGTACTTTAGCAGTTAGCTACAGAGTGACTGCTCAGAAATCCCTTAAAGTTCCTTCCATTACCTACCTTGGTCCTCTCTGGGAACTAGAGGGCTAAGAACTCTACGAGTTCAGTGCAATTCCACACTGGTATCCTGAGAATACGTGTAATATTGGTTCAATGTGGAACTGTTTTGCCACCACCAGGGCTCTAAAATCAGCTGTTACCACAATATCTATGAAGTATTGATAGTAACAGCATCTTATCTATTTCTGCAATAATTAAGAGAGATTATTTTTATATACATATACAAGCATATATATTTTAAGAAGTAACGAAGCACACTTATACTTCAGCTAACAAAATGGTAACACTGTAGCTGGAGATCTGTTTCTGAAAATTGTTATGCACCATTAGCAGCAAAAAATATTGTCTGCATCTTTTAGCTTCCTGATAGGAAAAGGCCTATATGTGTCCAGGAGAAAAATTAAAAATAATAAGTAAGATCAGAACCAAACTGTTAAAACAAGATCTGCATTGCCTTGGATGTTGAGTTTCACTTCTGTAATATGAAGCATTCATAGGCATTGACTTGTTCCTGAAACCACCACCTGCACATTATATGAAAACAGAGACTTGCAAGCAGTGTTTCCCATACTGTAAAATACTTGGATTTGTTAACAGCACCTAACTGTAAACAAAAAGTTAAGATTGCACTAAGAACACAAATGGGTGCCTAACATTTCTAAAATAATGCCTGAGTTGTCCAAGAGATTTCTTGTAATTTTTAACTGTAAAGCTTCAGTGTGACAGTGTCTAGGTCACATAAGATCATGTGATTTGTATCTAATACATTATTTAAAAAAAAAAAAAAAAAGCTGCTTAGCTGTTCAGGTGTAAAGGACATTACATGAAGTTATTAATTCCATATATTATTTGTGGGGGAGTGATTAAACACTTCACAAAACAGGGATGAGTATGAAGTAGTTCCATATATGACTATCTCTCTGTAGCCCTTTCATGCCCCAAGTCAGCAGTTCACATCTGTTCTTGGTCTGTGCACGCAGGGCCAAGGGGGCTCTACATGAGCTCTGCACAGCCACAGCCTGGTGCCTCCTCCCAGGCTAAGGAGCACTTTCCTGGCACAGACATAAAAACAGCAGAACTGTGCCCACAGGCTGCACAGCTGCTTCCAATGATGCTATGGTCATTTGCAGGCAAAGCAAAGATGCTTTGAATTTAAATTCTGTTGAATTAATTTTTTTTATTGTCCCCAACACTCTCAGCAGCTCAGTCCTGAGCTAATCTACACCTGGCAGGAGGGTATCTTTAATTAACAGCACTTGATTTTAACTTGATATAAAGGATGTCAGAGTTTCATTCTACCATACCTTCCTGCAGCAACCATTCCTGCTTTCAATCCTATCTGATCCCACCAATGGGTGGCTGGGAAAGCAGCAGAGGGGAGGAAAGGCACTTCAGAGTAGGGAATAGCAGAGCTACTGCTGCAAGCAGGCCTTCACAAGCAGCACTAAGAAAGTAGAGATTTCCTCTATACAAAACATTGTCTTCAAGGCAGTTTTTACACCCGTAAATCCTTAAGATACTGCTTATATAGTGCCTGGAGGAACTGGGTCTGATGCAAAGCAGCAGATTTCACCTGACCAATCTGACTAAAACTCCTTGACCTGGGGATATCTCAGACTATAGAGGACCATGTGTCCCCTCATTTAACATAAACACACCAAGTTCTACCATCTCCATGTCAAACTATTAACTTTGTCTTATTGAAGTGTTGTTTACAGGCCCTGTTCGAGATCAGGGCTTCATTTTGGCAGCATTTGATGCTTGTCAACCACTATACTACAATCAAATACCCAACAAACTAAGTCAACAGCAAAGAGAAAATGGAAGTAATCTCCAGTATTTTCATTTGACACAGGGCTTAACTTAACTGACCAGTACTACTTGAAAGGTCTGTGACAAGGCTGCTAGTGGAATATAACTAAATAAGCATATAACTAAATCAAGCATAGTCTGCTGTGCTGCAGTGTCTTTTATCTAAAGGCTTCTGAGTATTTTAAACAGTCAGTATCATAACAGAAGTAAAAAAACCCAACAACAAACAAATAAACAAACAAAAAAATCAACCCCCCAAAAAAACCCAAGTGAAACAAAATTTCCTTCAAACAGAAGCAAGACAGAAAAAGACAGTTTCAAGCACTTAAATTTGGCTGATTTCTGTCCCAAACCCCACACCGTCCTACAGATATAAGTAATTTAATTCAGTACATAGTGAAATATTTTAAGGTGCAAGTTTGTAAGAAAACCTCAGAACATGCAAAACAAATAAGGAAAGCTCTCAATTTCATTTTAAAAGTGTTGCTCAGCTCCTCAGTCACTCTGCTGTGAGCTGTCTGCTTACCTGCAGGATGGGTTGACTGCAGGTTACATTTTAAAGTTGTCATTGGATGAAGCAGTGAATGTGATTTTCCAACACTGTAAAAGAAATTTAGAATATGAATGGAGTTTATAACTTCATTTGATGCCTACAGTACTGTCTGGTGCCACAGAGCAATGGTCTTAAGAATACATCCATAGTACGTAAGCCCAAGTGATTGATTATTTGGGGTTTGTTCAGAGATCTACCCCAGCCTTTTATTCTTTGTATATATATATATTTATAACACCAGCACACACAGTGTTTATATTGACTTTAATATGGCCAAAATAACAATTTCTGACCTCTTTGATCCCCTCTGCATGCAGCTTCACTTGAGCTATACTCCAAGGATATTGTATCGTCATATGAAAATATTGTAGCCTCTTTCACAGTGCATTATTCATTGCATAGCTGTAAAATATGGGGAAAAATTACTAGAATTCAGGCAACTAAGAAGAGAGGGAAAATGTTTGTCATTACTAATACAGACTAGCTTCAGAAAAAAAAATGTGTGGTTGTTTTACTTATCTGCCCCAAACCTAATTTTCAATAACCCACTCCTAGACTATCCCTATGTCTGAATACTAACAGTAAATCCAAGACTATCACTGACA